ACTCCATGTTCTAATACTCAGCACGTGGGCTCCTTGCTGTAATCTGAGTGTGAACTCCATGTTCTAATACTCAGCACGTGGGCTCCTTGCTGTAATCTGAGTGTGAACCCTGTGTTCTGATGCTGGATGTGTGAGCTCCTTGCTGTAATCTGAGTGTGAACTCCGTGTTCTAGTACTTGGCACGTGGGCTCCTTGCTGTAATCTGAGTGTAAACCCTGTGTTCTAACACTCGGCATGTGTAGGCTCCTTGCTGTAATCTGAGTATGAACCCTGTGTTCTGACGCTGGATGTGTGAGCTCCTTGCTGTAATCTGAGTGTGAACTCCATATTCTAATACTCGGTTTGTGTAGGCTCCTTACTGTAATCTGAGTGTAAACCCTGTGTTCTGACACTCAGTGTGTGAGCTCCTTACTGTAATCTGAGTGTGAACCTGTGTTCTAACACTCGGCACATGGGCTCCTTGCTGTAATCTGAGTGTGAACTCCGTGTTCTAGTACTCGGCATGTGGGCTCCTTGCTGTAATCTGAGTGTGAACCTGTGTTCTGACACTGGATGTGTGAGCTCCTTGCTGTAATCTGAGTGTGCACCCTGTGTTCTAGTACTCGGCATGTGGGCTCCTTGCTATAATCTGAGTGTGCACCCTGTGTTCTGAAGCTGGATGTGTGAGCTCCTTGCTATAAACCAAGCGTGAGCATACGCTTTCTGCCACTCTAACCCAAGTGACAGTCTGGCGTTCCTGTGGGCTGAGTAACTAGTGGTTCTGCCCTGCCCCGTGACATAGGCTCACTGAATCCTCTGTCTGGCCGATGTTCATTTTATTCTCTGTGCCGCATGTGGCTCTGGAATGTCCCATGATGAGTTCATGGTCAGAGTCATCCCCGTGAGGGCTGATCTTTTCCTTCAGGGCAATGAGTCCTTCTGATTCACCCTTGGCAGCTGTCTCTGACCTGTTTTTATTAAATGTGTTTAGTGGAGTGAATGAATGAAGGGATGAATGAATGAGGAAGAACCAAGCAGCCTCCGTGCATGGTGCAGAGTGCAGAGCAAAGAGCCTCACTCCAGGCTCTGGCTCCACCTCCCATGGCACTCCCCAGCCCCTGAGGCCTGACTGTAGATTCTAGGGGGTGAACTGTTCTTGCCCTGGGCCTGCACAGGGAAGCCCCTCCTGATACACGATATGTCAGATTGCTTTTGGATGGTTCAGACCAAGTAGTGTGATGTGATGTCTGCTTTAAAGCAGTGTTCTGTGGAAAACATAGCAGGAATAAAAGCAGAGACCATTTAGGAGGCAGATGGAAGAAACTGACAAGAGTCCAGCTTCTTTGGCAGCTATTAATATGTACTGGAGAAAACAACAAATTAAAACAATTACAGATTTACTTGGGCAGTACCCAGTGTCTGAGTGGATTTAGGCAGCTCTGGAGGAACGTGTTCCAAGGTTGTGTCTTAGCATGGATGTGCCCAGGCCTGTGGATAACGAGAGGCGTCTGCCCCCGTCATGGCTGAGGGAAGCTAGGGGCCCAACTCCATAAAATCAGGAGCATTTAAAGACTTCAGAGAGGCAGGCAGCTTGTTTTCCTCTTCAGTTAAGGTAAAGCATGGGTTTTCTTTTTTTTTTTTTTAACTTTTATTTAATGAATATAAATTTCCAAAGTACGATTTATGGATTACAATGGCTTCCCCCCCCTACCGTCCCTGCCACCCACAACCCTCCCCTTTCCCACTCCCTCTCCCCTTCCATTCACATCAAGATTCATTTTCGATTATCTTAATATACAGAAGATCAGCTTAGTATACATTAAGTAAGGATTTCAACAGTTTGCTCCCACACAGAAACATAAAGTGAAAAATAATAGATGATTTTTTTTAAATGATGATGAAATCAGATCAGACCTATTGTCATGTTTAATCCCAGTGAGAGTCAAGTTGGGAGTTGAGAATTTCTTTTTTTTTTTTTTTTACAGAGGATCAGTTTAGTATGCATTAAGTAAAGATTTCAACAGTTTGCACCCCCATAGAAACACAAAGTGAAATATATTGTTTGAGTACTCGTTATAGCATTAAATCTCAATGCACAGCACATTAAGGACAGAGGTCCCACATGAGGAGTAAGTGCACAGTGACTCCTGTTGTTGACTTTACCAATTGACACTCCTGTCTATGGCATCAGTAATCTCCCTATGCTCCAGTCATGAGTTTCCAAGGCTATGGAAGCCCTCTGAGTTCTCCAATTCTTATCTTGTTTAGACAAGGTCATAGTCAAAGCATGGGTTTTCTTAAGGAACAGAATAACCAGACCCCAGATCAGCCCTGGGTGTCCAAGAACAGCCCGTACGGTGCTCACCACAGTACACCTGCCCAGATCCACCCAGAGGCTGAATGCAGCACCAGGAGTCGAGTCTCCCACCTGCTGAGCTATGCCGTGAACCTTCCACAAATGGGCAGTTCTGCTGGCACCGTTTGCAGGAAGTTCTGAAACAAGCAAAACGGTTGAGCAGTGAATCTACATCAGAATGTGGTCTCCTCTGGTGCTTGGGCAGGGTCTGCCCAGGAGTGGGAGGCATGAGGGATGACATATGTTCTGTGTTGCAGTGGAGTTTAGTCACATAGGCAGATGCACCTGTGAACTTCAAATGCTATGCTCAAGATCATTCCACGAAGTTTGCAAATGTTCCCTCAAAACCTAAAACAGCAGCAACTGTAAACTAATATTAGTTTTAATTGTTTATTTGAAAGGCAGAGAGAGAGAGAGAGGCCTCCAATCTACTGTTTAGTCCTTGAATGCCTGCAACAGCTGGCGCTAGGCCAGGCTGAAGCTAGGAGCTGGGAACTCCATCCATGTTTTCCTTTATTTTCCTGACGAAGGTTACTCTCTGATTTAATAGTGAAAGTTCCCTGGTTCAGCTGAGAGAAGTCCATGTCCTGACCTCAGAGGTGTGTCATCTTAGCCTTCATCCTCTGTTCCCTAAAGGGGAACCTATTGGGCTGCTTCCACCAGAGGTCCTCATTGATGATGGCCGCTGGCTGCTGGAAAGGGTATGGCCAGTGGTTGTGGCCACCTGGACCACAGCCCATTGCCTTGAAGAAAGTAGAGGCCAGCTGTTTGCTGGGAGAGCAGTCTTTTTCCCAAGTCGTGCCAGCTGAGGTCACTGTATCAGTGGAAACACCTTGAAGGCCCTCAGAGCTGGGCAGTCTGCTGGGTGCTGGGTATGGACAGCACCACAGCTGTGCCAGCTCAACTTTGTGATCAAGGCAGCTGCACATCTGCAGAAGCCAGCCAGAGAAGTTGGCCGGAATCATTCTGCCCTGGGAACAGGGGCCAGTGGCCAGAGAGCCCCTGCCTGGAGAGAGTCCTCACCAGCACTCCACCCAGTGAGAACATGGAAGGGGAGCAGAGGGAGACCCCACAAAGCTGAAGAGGGTGGGACGATACCCCACATGCAGCGCTGGTGCAAACTCTTTGGGTTGGTTGTGTATTGTCTGATCCTGTGCTGCCAGCCAAGGCTCCCTCTGTAAGGCAGACAGATGGTGACGCGCTTTAGAATTCCCATGGGTGTGGAACCAGGAAGCCTGTAGAGCACGATGCATGTTTAAAAAGCCTCCTGAAGAAAGTACCATGGGGCTGGCACTGTGGTGCTGTGGCGCAGCGGGTTAAAGCCCTGGCCTGAAGCGCCAGCATCCCATATGGGCGCCAATTCTAGTTCTGGCTGCTCCTCTTCCAATCCAGATCTCTGCTAAGGCCTGGGATAGCAATAGAAGATGGCTCAAATCCTTGGGCCTCTGCACCCATGTGGGAGACCCAGAAGAAGCTCCTGGCTCCTGGCTTCAGATCGGCTCAGCTCTGGCCGTTGTGACCATCTGGGAAGTGAACCAACAGATGGAAGATCTCTCTCTATCTCTACCTCTCTCTGTAATTGTATCTTTCAAATTAATAAAATAAATCTTAAAAAAGAAAGTACCAGGATCTTTGGCCTTGTTTCTGTGCATGACCACCTGGTTACTGTGGTGAGGGCAGCAAGAGCCTGGCCAGGTCTGACATCCAAAGCCAGGGGCCATATTTCTTCACTGTTAACCACAATTTTGGTTCAAGTTTGATCCCTTACAAGCTCCCTGCTTCAAAAGCCCCAAGCCTCTTTGTTTTACAGTGCTTGCCTAAACATGTCTTTCAAAGAGCCAGATTTGTAAGCATGACTTCCTTGTAATCCTCTCGTTTCCTTTTAAAACAGACTCCCAAGTGCATTACCAGGGTCTGGCTTTGTGTTTCCCGAGTTAAGTCTGATGTCTTGAAACCTGGGGGGCTGGGCCTACCAGGTCCGTGCTGCCAGGCAGCTGTGCCTTTGCGGGATGGACCAGCACCCAGTGCAGGCAGGAGCCTTGCTGCTTCTCACAGAAGTGGCTTCAAGTGTTATTTTTCAGTTTGCTACCTTCTTAATACCCTATAATTAGACCTGTGATTTGTTCTTTGATGTATTAGTTTGGAAGAATGTTTTCATCTCCAGCCAGTTGGCTTTTTAGTGTATGCTCTTTTCATTGATTTTAGGTACACAATGCTGTGATCTGAAAATGTTGCCTGCTGTATATTGCATTTGTAAACATTCTTTGCACACAAAATAATGTGGTATGCTTTGCAAAGTAAAATGTTTATGTTGTAGTTATTAACCTGATAAGATGCTTATGTAAATGTCATGATTTTTTTTTTATCAACTAGAGCTCTTAGAGACTCATCCTGTCCCAGAGACTGGCACAGAATTTTTATCTGTTCCCCCTTGAATTTGTAACATTTCTTTGTGCTGTGAATTTAAGAATAAACTGCCTCCTGCTTATTCTTATTCTGCGTTGCATTTTCTGTTAACTTAAGCACCCTTCATGGTACTCACTCTTAGTGTCCTTGATCAGAGTTGATGTTGAAAGTCACTGAAGGTCCCCATGTGTGCAAACATAGCTTTGCCTGGGTTTTGCCCTTCCACTCAATGTCGTATATGGTCTCTCTCCCTCCCTAGTTTGCCAGGGCACAAGCAACAAGCTGACCCAGCTGGGCCCTTTTGAGGACCACTTCCTGAGCCTGCAGAGGATGTTCAACAGCTGTGAGGTGGTGCTGGGGAACCTGGAGATCACCTACGTGCAGAGGAACCACGACCTCTCCTTCTTAAAGGTTGGTTGTGTGGCTTTGTTTCCCACACAAATGCCATGGCAGGACAGGTGAGGGATGTACAGCTTGGCTGAATTTAACTTGAAGTTTACATTCACTCTGGGGTATTGAAAGTGAGAGTGGCATCAAAAAGAAGGCAGCCTCAGTGGCATCACAGCTGGGACAGGAGATTATGGCTCTAGCATGCTGTACACTGACAAGAGCCCTGAGTGTTGCTTCTGCCTGGGGTGCTGGTGCTGTGGCTCTCAGAGAAAGTGGTCCTGTTCTGTCTCGTGTGCCTGTTGCCTTGGGGTAAATGTTCCCACCATGGCTCCATTTTGAGCTCCCATGAGCTTTACAGCCATTCACGAAACTTCCATAGGCTCCAAGGAGCTGGGATGAACCCCCTTCCCACACAGAAGGCTTCAGAGAATTCTTTGTCTCAGGTGAGACACACTCTGAGTGATCGTTCCATCAATGTTGGTGGCAGTGAAGCTGTGCTGAACTTGCTTGACCCCATTCTGTTCTGGGCGTCCTGTAAATGAGGCATCATGTGAGAAGGATGTAAAAGGCAGTTGTAAATGTGCCAACTCTGTCGAGTGCAGAGCGAGAGCTGTAGTGTTGCTTGGCTACACACACCACTGTGGATTAAGGCTTCGCAGATGCTCCAGGCCCTTCCCCCCCTTTCCCAGATTCTAATCCCCTACTTGTCTTACACCTGACGGCCACTCCTGTGCGTCTTAATTCAGTCAGGTGCCCTGGGCTTCAGGACTCCTTTTAGACCCTGAATTCCTGAGCTCCTCAGAAGAGAAGCACTGTGCTCATGTTTTGTCCTCTCAGACCATCCAGGAGGTGGCTGGCTACGTGCTCATTGCCCTCAACACCGTGGAGAGCATCCCTTTGGAGAGCCTGCAAATCATCCGAGGAAACGTGCTGTATGAGAACACCTACGCCTTAGCCGTTCTGTCCAACTACGGAGCCAACAAGACCGGGCTGAGGGAGCTGCCCATGCGGAACTTGCAGGGTGAGCAGGTGCCGTGGGAGGTCGCAAAGGCAGGGGGTCTCTGAGCCGGTCACCTTCCTTAGTGCCACCTCAGAGAAGACTTGCACTCATCAAGTCACACATGTAGTAGTGCTAGCCACACGCCAGACAACAGGTGTAAACTAGGCACAGTAAGCCATTAGCAACACCAGTGATACAATAGAAGGGTACCAGTGGTAGCGATACACAGTAACGAGCTGTGTGTGCCCGCAGGACCAGGCACTCCCCTCCTCCCTCCCAGTGTCTTGTTGAGCACAGGTAACTGTGACTGCAAATAGGAGGGACGCGTGCATGTTCGAGGCCACTGCACACTGGGTCTTAAGCAGCGCTGCCCTAGGAATTCAGGCTGAAGTTCAGGGTAGGCAGCAGAGGTTTCAGTCTGATGCTTGCAAGGCCACTGTGAGATGCCTCTGTGCACGATGACGGGTTTTAAAGCTGGTGATAAATGTCACCCTGCATGCAGCAGCCATGCGAACTGCGCATATCCTTCCCTCTGGTAGGCACTGCAGTCCGCCGTCTCACAGAGAGAAGCAGGGGAGTTACTCGAGGGCTGCACTCTGCGAATCTCTGCCCCAGACTCCCACCCTTCCTGCTGCCCCCCAGGACAGGGATGCGATGAAAGCCAAGGCACAGAGTGGAGGAGTTGGGTCTGAACTTGCAGGGATGTAGTGGGAGCACAGGGCTGGGTCTGCTCCCTTCCAAAGCAGAGAGCAGAAGCAGCCTCTCCTTGCCTTCTTAGCCCATGGTTGCCATTCTGTGAATCCACCGTGAGCCTTCCCAGCCACTGCTTCAAGGCTCAGGTGCCCTCACACATGCCACCTTCATACCCTTTACTCCACTGGTACTAAGAGTGCGCTGGGTAAGCCTGGTACCTGTGCTGGGAATCTGAGTTTTCAAGGCTTGCAGGTGCCATCTGCCCTTCTCATCCTGTCCATCTGTCCATGGCTCACTCCAGCCTAGCCCATTCAACCCCCGAGGAACCACCCTACATGGCTCACTCCTCTGTGCTCTGCCCACTGATGGAGCCTGCCTCTTCCTTCCTTCCTCCTTCCCTGTGACTAAATTTTTGACCATTGGAGGCCACATTGAGGGCATCCTCTCTCCTCTATGGCACTGTCCTCAGATGAGTCCTGTTCTGCATCCAGGTTTCATAGGATTAGCCCTGGACTCCTGTTCCACAATATATCTTTTCTTTCTTTTTTTTTTTTTTTTTTTAAGATTTTACTTATTTGACAGAGTTAGAGAGAGAGAGAGAGAGAGAAACGTCTTCCTTCTGTTGGTTCACTCCCCAAATGGCCGCAACAGCTGGAGCTGCGCCAATCCGAAGCCAGGAGCCAGGAGCTTCTTCCCTGTCTCCCACGTGGGTGCAGGGGCCCAAGCACTTGGGCCATCCTCCACTGCTATCCCAGGCCACAGCAGAGAGCTGGACTGGAAGAGGAGCGGCTGGGACTAGAACCGGCACCCACATGGGATGCCAGTGCCTCTGGCTGAGGGTTAACCTAGTGCGCCGTGGTGCCAGCCCCCACACTACATCTTTTCAACAGAATGTGAAATGCTAAGAAAGGCACGTGTGGTTCCTGAGGGGACGTTTCTCACTGAATCTCCTCCCCTTGCAGAAATCCTTCATGGAGCTGTGCGATTCAGCAACAACCCTGTCCTGTGCAATGTGGAGACCATCCAGTGGCGGGACATTGTTCACGGTGACTTTCTGAGCAACATGTCTCTGGACATGCAGAACCCCCTGGGCAGCTGTAAGTGTGCGCAAATCTTCTGTCTGCCAGCAACTGTGCTGGTAGGCAGAGCTGTACGTCAGTGGGGTGGGAGGAAGGAGACACACAAAGAATTAGTGCCTGTGCTCACTCAGGAACACACATGTAGGGCAGAGGAAACAGGGCCTTCTGTGGTGAGACTTGGACTGCAGAACAGAGCACCTCGGGATGGCCAGGCCCTGCTGTGGCCCTTTTGCAGAGGCCCTGGTACAGGGCCAGCTTCTCCCTTGCTGCTGAGTCTCAAAGTAGCACCCAGGCCAGCTGAAGCCTTGAGACTGACCTCTGTCCGTGGGAGGAAGTTTGTCCACTTTCCCTAGGTGCTTGGGAGCTTGTCCCTGCCAGTTGATCAGCAGAGAAGCCATGCTAGGAGAGCCCCGTGGGGACCAGGCCGAGGTCAGGGCTGCATAGAATTCTGAAGACACGTGGTTCCATTTGCCCCTTCTTTCCATCATCAGCAAGAAGCAACTTCCTGCTTCTCTGTATCCCTGTGACTGCAGCAGATGCTTGGTTTTTGCCCTGAAAGCAAATGAAACCAGCATGGATCTTCAACATCCTCAAACTCACCAAGCAGAGCTTCTGCCTGCCTGTGGGATGAAAGGCCACAGTGTGAAATCTGCCATCTCCACCATTTTCAAATTCAGTGGCTGCCGTGACACTGCTGTGCAGCCCGCACCACCTCCCTCTCCAGGATGCTGTGCCTGCTGCAGAACTGAAAGTCTGTGCAGTGAAGCAGTGACCCCATGTTCTGCCTCCTGGCCAGCTCCTGGCCTGGGTGGCCCCTTGCTGTCCTCTGTGAATTGATCCCTTGAGTGCCTCACATGCTGGAGCCACACAGCCCTTCTGTGACTGGCTTCATTTACTTAAGCGTGGTAGCTCCGCGATCGTCTGTTGTAGCGTGTGTTGGAATTTCCTTCTTGTAGCTGCATGAGTTTTCCCACCACGTTTTTGCCATGCTTGCTTTTTCCACCGATGGGTGCTTGAGTGACTCCCACCACCTGTCTGTTTCCACGATGCTGCTGTTAACATCCATGCTAAGCCCATGTTATAAACATTTTTGTCTACAAGAGTGACACTCCCTATGCTTGCAAGAAGCCAAAAGCTTCTTTCACAATGAACAATTTTATGTTCTTTGTGTGATCAAGGTTAGCATTTCCTCAGCCAGTTCACAGACAGTAGAAGGTTAAGTTGTGTACACTTATAAAAAAAAAAATCAGACATAGGCAGGCAATGAAGCCAGTAGTGGTTTGTCATAGGCCAGACAAGAGAGCCCTCAGTGCCCACATCCTCCACAGCATGGATGTGGGGATTACCCATCCAGAAAACGTCAGCAAAGAAAGAGAGGTTCCTGCAGTAACAAGACTGAAATATTGCAAAGCTTTGAGCTGCAGTCCAATATGGAAGGACAGTCACATAGAATAAACATGGATAAGACAATAAGAAAGTTAAACTGGAAGTCCATAAAGAAGTGAGCTTTCATGCCAATAAGGGAAGAATTCATTATTCAACAAACTGTTCTGAAATGACTTAACTCTTAGGGCTTAGCCAGGCTGAAGCCAGGAACCAGGAACTCCATCTGTGCCTCCCATGTGCGTGGCAGGGACCCAAGTACTTGAGCCATCATCTGCGGCTTCCCAGGGTGCATTAGCAGGGAGCTGGAATCAGGAGCAGAGCGGGGACTCGAGTCTAGGCACACCAATGTGGGATGTGGTCACCCTAACCAGCATCCTAACTGCTAGGCCAAATATTTGCCCCAGAAATTTGGAAAAATATTGAAATATAGGGTAAAAAGTAAAAATAACATAATTTCATTATGTAATCAAAACCACTTTTAACACTTCTATGTATTATTTTTGCTTTCTCTGTTCCTCGTCACTTTTCTCTCCCCTTCTCTCTTCACAACCTGTAGCCCACACTGTCCGTGTGACGTTGGTCTTCCATCTTTGTGATTCTGTGGAGCACCAGCAATGCATTTCCTTCCTTTAGTCCTGGTGTGACTTTAAAATCAGTCACTCATGTTGGAGTGGTGTTCTGGTTCAGAATCCACTTGCCAATCATCTGCTTTTCCATTTGAAATCGGATTCTCCTGGTGACTAATTTCTTCCTGACTTGGAGACGCGGGGTTCCACAGGAAGCTGTGTCTATACAGGGAGTGAGCTCTGTGTGACTGGGCTCTTTAGAAAGACAAGTGTGACCAAGCTGCTGTTTCACCACTTTGGTCTTCAGATTTCTCCGTGCCAATAGAAACAAAACTAAGGAGATTAAAACCATGTTGCTGTGATGTAACTTGACCAACTTGACCAATTGCAAAGGTTTCCAGGTAGCAGTTTGTAAATCATCAGCTAAGGTTTGAGATAGCCCCAAAGTCACATCCACTGTTACCTTGTACAACCTTCATGCTCAGTCTATACTGCTCTGCTAGGGTCTGGTGATGGTTTTGATTTCATGTGGTGCTCCAAGTGCCTCAGACAGACTGCCCCACTGGGTCACTCAAGACTGGACACATCAAGGAAACCCTGGGTACATGGCAAGGGCCACTGATATGCTCAGCATGTGTGGGGCCACCAGAACATTCATTACCATAGCCTCAGCAAGGCAGGGGTCTGGACCTCGGAGTTCACATAGCCCCTGCCCGAGTGCCGAGCCAGTAACTGCCCCTGCCTCATTTTCCACACCTGGGAGGTAAATACGAGCAGCTGGTGGGTTGCCGGGAATCTGCAAGTCATCCTGTGACCAACCAGGCAGACATGCAGTCAGAGGCTGTGCCTCCTAGCTAGAACTGACTTAGGTCAGGTCTCCAGAAAAGGCGTCGTCAGCTTCTCATCATTCGTTCGCTTCTACCAGGTCAGACTGCCATTATCACTCCTGTGTTTCAGGCCAGAAGTGTGACCCAAGCTGTCCCAATGGAAGCTGCTGGGGCGCAGGCGGCGAGAACTGCCAGAGACGTAAGCTGGGTTAAGTCCCTGTGGGAGGGCGACCCCTCCCGCCTTGGCCTTAGGAGCAGGTGCACTGGCCTGCGAGACTGAGAGAGCTGTCCAAGCATGGGCCCAATGTTTGCTTCCTGCATGAAACTGCCAGGTCCCACAGCTCAGCCACGTGGCTCTCTGTGGTCTTTGCCTTGTGGAAGATAGTGAAACTCAGCTGTGGTCCTACTGCCATTTTTGGTGCCCTGAAAGCTGAGCACACTCCCTGGGCACAGGAGATGGCATTCGCAGGAGAGCCTGGCTTCCTGTCCCTCTCCCGGTCTTTGTGTGTCACCAGAACCCAGGATCAGTGGCATTTAGTGACTTCCAGGTCATTTTGAAGCACTCGGCACTCCTGAGAGAAGAGAAACCAGTGGGAAGCAGGGTGCAGTAGGAGTGTCCTGACCGTCTCAGCTTGGCTGAACGTGGCTGCCTGGGAGTTTGATGAGCCACAGATACTGTGTCCACAGATACTTGTCCACTGCGATGTGTAGACTCTCTGAGAAGTGACTGGTGCCCTCGCTCCGGGCTCACAGGTGACCTTTGCTCTTTTCCAGTGACCAAAATCATCTGCGCCCAGCAGTGCTCTGGACGCTGCCGCGGCAAGTCCCCCAGCGACTGCTGCCACAACCAGTGTGCTGCTGGCTGCACAGGCCCACGGGAGAGCGACTGCTTGGTGAGACCCAGCTTCCCCACCCGCCCCTCACTCCCCCACTCCTGCCCCACTGGAGCTCCTGGGAGAGTTTTTGTTCATGCTGCCTACAGCAGCCCCTCTGCCTGGTGGCAAAGCCCCTTCATATCCGGCCTCCACCACTCACTCTCTGACCTCTGCCTCAGCCTCCCCTGCAGTCTGTCCCAGACTGAGCACCAGCCATAAACACCTGTCTGTCATGAGCATTTCTTGCCCAACGGTGGGGCCATGACCCTGCTCACCACTTCCCTTAGTCCTGCTACAAACCTGGGGAGCAGACACAGGAGAGTCCCCCAGATACCACCTGGACCCACATGTCCAAGTGTCCTGACCCTGCCCTTAGCTTTGTCCCGGAGCAGCCTGACATGCTTGCTCTTGTCCCTGGTGCTATGGAACGCTCTGAACTCTGGACAGAGGCCATGTCTCAGAGTCCTCAAGACACCAGGGCTGGGGTGTAATTTCTGGGCTGCTCGGCCGCGCCAAGGCCCCTCAAGGCTCCGGGAAAGGAAACTGTCCTCATCGGAATCCCAAGCACGCCATGGTCTCAGTGAAGGGGAGATGCTGAGCTGGTGATGGGGGTTGACTCATGAGCATGAGGGGCAGCCTGTGTGGGATTCTGAGCCAGCACTGTGGGGCCATTCCACGGAGCCCTCATCCTGCCTGAGGGTTCATGCAGTTTGGCAATTGGTTCTGACCAGTGTCCCCAAGTGTGCTTTGTAAGGGAAACCCAGTACAGAGTAATGAGGTTACCTGCTGCAGAGATCTGTGGATGCTCATTTCTCAGTAGAGGTGCATTCTCTCTGGTCATACTTTGTCACTTAGGATGGCTTTAGAGGAAGTCTTGTGACCTACTAAAAGCACTTTGCTGGAAATTCCATCCTAATTGAACACCTGAGAACGGAAAATCATAAACTAAGCTTTTTTTTTTTTTTTTTTTTTTTTTTTAGAGAGAGAGACAGAGGGAAAGGTCTTTTGGCTCATTCCCCAAATGGCCGCCACAGCCGGTGCGCTGTGCTGATCTAAAGCCAGGAGCCAGGCGCCCCCTCCTGGTCTCCCATGTGGGCGCAGGGCCCAAGCACTTGGGCCATCCTTCATTGCCCTCCCGGGCCACAGCAGAGAGCTGGACTGGAAGAGGAGCAACCAGGACAGAATCTGGTGCCCCAACTGGGACTAGAACCTGGGGTACCAGTGCCGCAGGCAGAAGATTAGCCAAGTGAGCCGCGGCACTGGCCTAAACTAAGCTTTTTTGAAATAAATCAGATATGGCATGTTTCGTCTGTGGGGCACGAGTGTCCCTGCCAAGCCTAACCAGGTATGCATCCTCACCCCCGACAGGTCTGCCGAAAATTCAGAGATGAAGCCACATGCAAGGACACCTGCCCACCTCTCATGCTGTACAACCCCACCACATATCAGATGGATGTCAACCCCGAGGGCAAATACAGCTTTGGTGCCACCTGTGTCAAGAAATGTCCCCGTGAGTCCCTCGCACATGCCCTTGATTTCCCAGACATCCACATCCCCTCTGTCTTCTGTCAGGACCTTGCCTGCCCGTCACAGGTGATCTTTGGGCCATGGTGCTTGCCTCACTGTAGGCAGGTGGCATGCGTCATCCAAGTCAGGGATTGGGCCAGCTCACAGCAGACACCAGCTCCGCTCACAGAGAAACGTTATTTACATCTGTTCTGGTGTCCACGATGGCTGGGTGCCCCCTCCAACTGAAGACAGCTGCAGGGGTCCAGGGTGCCCAGGAGAATGAGGGCACTCAGCGGCTAGTGATACCATGAATGTCCTTTGGGCAGCTCCCCTGTTAGCTCTTGTGCCGAGTGACAGAACCTACAGCCGTGAGTCCAGCAAACCCATTCCTGTGTGGTAGAAGTTCTGGGAAGTTGTGCCTCTTAAAGATGTTTGAGAGATTTTGTTTTTGTTTTATCTTGTTCTTTTTTTTTTTTTTTTTAACTTTTATTTAATGAATATACGTTTCCAAAGTACGAATAATGGATTACTATGGCTTCCCCCCCCTACCGTCCCTCCCACCCACAACCCTCCCCTTTCCCACTCCCTCTCCCCTTCCATTCACATCAAGATTCATTTTCGATTATCTTAATATACAGAAGATCAGCTTAGTATACATTAAGTAAGGATTTCAACAGTTTGCTCCCACACAGAAACATAAAGTGAAAAATAATAGATGATTTTTTTTAATGATGATGAAATCAGATCAGACCTATTGTCATGTTTAATCCCAGTGAGAGTCAAGTTGGGAGTTGATAGTTTCTTTTCTTTTCTTTTTTTTTTTT